CCCCAAAACCCCAAAACCCCAAAACCCCAAAACCCCAAAACCCCATGAGATAGATATGAATTAATATCGTAAATTTTGAATTTTAAAAAAGTACTAGATGTTAGATAATACAATTATATGTCAAAATCATCACTCTAAATTTATGAGGAATTAAAAAGTAATACTTACTCTCTTTTAATTAATGAATTTCCATAGAACTTAAAGAAATTAATTATTCAAAAGCCTGAACTATGAACATGGTCCCAAAAATCTCATAAATCCTCTGAAATAGCATTATTTGCCTAAACAGGCTCTGCTTCCTATTCGATTTCTTGCTCTCTTCTTCTATCCGCTTCATCTAATCTTCTTCTTTCCTCCTCAACTTATTTAGCAAGGTCCTCATTTCTTTTTCTCTCCTCCTCTATTCTAAGGAGTGCCTCTTAATGCTCTGCGTATCTCCTGTTAATCTCTTATTATCTAGTATAGGCATCTTTTTTTATTTGTTCCTCTCTATTGTATCCCTCAGAGATAGGGCCAGCCATGCTAACAAGATTAAATCCATAGTTAGGAATCTAAGTTAAATCCAAGCTCTCAATTCCGAAATCCAAATAACCTGGCACCACATTAAGTTTAAAGTTTCTTGAAACATTCTCAATATCAAATCTAGGGAATTTAACTGGAAGCTGCAATGGAGAAGTAGTGAGTTGTCTAAAGAATCTTCTCACTAGTAAGTTTACTAATCCTTTTACAATTACCTGCTCATCTTCAATATCTAAATCGAATGTATTAATCAAGATTGGAAAACTTACGTTCAGATGGTGATTTGGGATCAACAATCATGATCTTAGAGACTCCAGCTGGCAGTCCATTGATTTCAAATTTGAATGCCTGTCCTTCTAATTATTTAATATCAATGTTCACTGCTATTTCAAGGAAGCACTTACGAAATACATCCCAACCATTTTAGTTGTTTTGAACAGTAATATCAAAAATGAGAGGAATGTTTAGATCAACATGATCTTGCTTGAATTCAATTTTAAAGTTTGCTAGAGCACTGTCAACCCAATTTAAGTAGGCATCTTTAGGATTCAAGTTAATATTGGCTTTCCTAGTCTGATCATAGAGCATTTCTAATTTAGGGAAAATAGCTGATAGCCAAAACACATTCAATGAGTTTAACTCTGGAAACAAGATCCTATGAAATCTAAGGCGACTTAGTAAATCAAAATCTTTTTCTTTAGAGGAAAATGTGAAGAACATTCTCTTTAAGTATTAATCATTCAATGTAAGTCCAAAGTATCTGGGTGACTTAGGCTAAGGAGCGTTCTTATAATAGTTAAGCTGAGCTTAATTTTCCTCAGTTAGTCTATACTTTTCTGGATTATCGTCATGGACATAAAAGAAAGATTGGCCATTAGTGTAGAAATAGTCTGAATCTCTTACAAAGAGGTACATGGCAAGATGTGAACTATAGAACTGTTCCGCAGAACCCCACATTGCATTATTTGTCCAATCAGAAAAGATATGGGCTAATCTAGAAACAACGACAGTCATATCATTTCTGAGAGCTTCATCCTCTATTCCAATAATCTCAACTTCGTTTTATAAACGATTCTTATAGCTTTCCCAAGGTTGAGATGGTTAAAGCTTTTAGTGCACGACTGCAGTAAAACTCTCATAAGATGCCGAACCCTAGATTGTGAACTTAATAGCCTTTTATTTAGAATCTTGGGGATCTTCAATTTATAGCGTTGAGTAATCAAGAGACACTAAATTATCTTGACGATTCAGTTGCTTTAGCTTATCATTGATATGTCTTTGGAAAAATCCAGAATCCTTTTGAAGCCTCTATACGATGTTTTCTTTGCTGAGTTCAATTTTCACAGACTAGATAATACCCAAAAGTATAGCGAATATGCTAAGGTATATATTGTTTCTCATTATGAAATATATTTGTATTAAATAATAATTTCTATTTAAATTAGCAAATTTTGGCACACTGGGGTTTTGGGGTTTTGGGGTTTTGGGGTTTTGGGG